CCCTACTACTCTGGTTTTGCAAGTTTACGAAACAATTTGGCTCACGTCGTAGTGGAACTCGACGCCTTGGTCCCGTTTGTCCCATTCACAGAGTTGTTCTATCGCGACTCTGTCTGATTGAATTGGTGCCGACGTTGTCGGCGTGAGTCGAAAAAGACAGGCTTCAAAGCAGAAATAAAAAGTGAATTCAACTGGAAAGAGGAGACGTTGCTCGAATTGTCCACGCTGTCTGAGGTCGCCTTGGCGGGTGCACTTTCAGTGGATTTCTGTCCGAGCCTCCACCATCGTTTTTTCGGGCGATTCTTCCCTTTTTCCCCTTTACCCGCAACAGACATGCCGCCCTTGCTCTGTCCAGCGGAGCACTGGGCCTCGTGTTCCTCGTGCCCTCTCGGTTGGGCCTCTTTATTCTTCCATTCGGAACGAGTCGACTCCTGTTCCACCGACGCCTTCACCTCTTGGCTCGGTTGTCCTTCTCTAGGCGAGTTTGTCTGCCCTTTAACCTCTGACTCAACTTTTGGCGTCTCCTTTGCAGCCTTGCCGTCATGACAACCTCCGGAATCTTCAAACTGATAACCTGTTGACTTTGAGGCGGCTGTGTCTCGAACTGTAGGCCCGGAGGTCTTACTTGTCTCGTGTCGATTTGCGGAAGAGGATATTGCCTCGTCAGAGTCGTCTGGATAGGCGTCCACTTGACGGGCCAGCTGAGCTATGCTGCTGCGACGACGATGCGACATGATCAGCAAGTCCTCCTCCATGACGGTCAGGGACGCACATTGCCCATTGGAGTTGCGCGCCTTTGCAGCCAGCGCCGCAATCAAGCCGCAGGCGTCAGATTCTGGCAGAATGACGAAACTGCCCTTTCGAGGCAGGTTGCGTTGGTAGAAATGGGAGCCTTGCTCGGACGTTATAGTTCTCTCCTCGAACTTCCGTCTTGGTAAAGTTGACCTGTTCTCTCAAGGATGCCTCCCAAAATTAGGTGTGTGTGTGTGTGTGTGTAGAGGGTGGGGGAAGCAATGAGGCAACGCAGGTTAGAGGTTGGGATACCAGACAGCCAAATAAGAAGATAAAATCGAATAGGGGCTAAGAATGAAGTGAATTTGGGCAAAAGCAGAAGTAATGAAAGTAGTTAAATAGTTAATTTAGGACGGAGCTTGGTCAATTCTATCAGAGAATTCCATTTTTAGGGGAGATAATGAAGTAATCTATACTTTCACTGGTTTATCTCATTTCTGGACATTGAGCAGACTCCCGAAAATTTATCATTTTTGAGAGTGCATTTCCATTTTGAGTGAAGACGTGCGATGAAAAGATGCGTGGAGGTCGGTCGCAAGAGAAAACGACAGCGGATTCCTCTCTGTCAGCTGTCGATTTATATTCAATCAGTAGGTTTTGCTATCACCAATTCTTAGTAAACGATCGTATTGCTATACTGAAGCCGAATCGTTGTCGCTGCCGTCAAGGCGATTTTCTTCGATTACTCTTGGCTTGTCAATTTGAGGCTTACTTATACTTTAAGTGAAAGTGTGTGATGAAGGGATTCGAAGACGATAACGGACCCCATTAGTCAGCTGTCATTTGGTTATACTGAAACGTTCTGCTTAACGCTATTATTGAAGTTATTATTTTTAATTTCAGTGGAAGCTTGGTGAACCTTTGTCTGTGATACAGCCGACATCATCAAAGCAAATAAGCATTTTTACAGGTTATTAGAGCTTTATTGAGTCATTAGGCTCAAGAAAACTCACCGTCTATTCCCAAAATGCTGGGTGTTAACTTATGCATTTTTCAAAGCAGAGTGATTTTGTTAGCTGACGTCACTGCACAGAAACGCTAGGACACACTTGGCTTACGCTCTTCCAAAGATGCACAGGGCAAGGGTTCCTTCAAAGTTGATCGTCTTCAAAAAAGGAAATGTGACAAATGAGGATTCATGAATCGTATGCAGACAATTAAGGAAACTGCTTGCACATTGAATATATCATAAAACGATAAGTAAGGAGTTGAAGGGGCTAATTTAGCTCTATCATAAATATAGAAGAGCTCCCTGATATTTTGAAGGGTGTAATACATAGTACACTGTATATAATACGGCGCCTGCTAACAGAAATATATTG